ATATATATATATATATATATATATATATATATACACACACATATGTATATATATGTATGTATGTAAATATATATGTATATATATATATGTATATGTATATGACATCTTCTGATTCTGAATCCCCCTCCACTTAACAGGCATATCTGGCTATTTTCAGTCTAGCTATAGCAATATTCTCCAGACGTGCACATCTGAACTACAAAGTCAGTCTTCAGCCTACAGATAACCCCATATCTTGATGTATGTACCTGTTGTCTAGGATCAAGTTGTATTTTGTCATTACAAACTCCAAGTGGTCTTCTTGGTTATCCTCCACTCTCTCTGTAGTAAATATCACCCTAAGTAAGACTAACCACCTGGGGTAGAAGTCTGTCTTTAATAACTAAACTGGCATAAGATTTCTCTGGTGGAGCACAGGTTCAATGATTGCCTTTAAAAAGTTAGTATTTAGTAACTGTTATGGCATAGTTTTTTCAACACAATTGCCTCCCATTCCTAATAGGAGAAAACTTCTGATAATTGTTTCACAACACTTTTCAATAGCTTTCATCGTGTGTGTGTATGTGTATGTGTGTGTGGTTAACAAGTACCATATGACACTTTTAACCTAATACTATCTCATGGCAATAGACCAAACACATTCCAGCTTTACATAATGTTGTTATAATGTTTGGGGCCATTTCCACATGTTATTAGTATTTTTTTCCCCAAAATGGTTATTATTTCTCAAAGAGGAATATAATTTGAGCATAATTAGACTGGAGCGGCATGAATAACTATGGCATGCATGTTATATGCATCAATATGGAAATAGATGATATTCTAGCATCTTCATATCTGATAAAGCATCTGAATATATCTATATAGTGTATGTGTGTGTGTATTTATATACATATATCTCATTAATTTATATGTGTATATATAAATATATCATTTATATATATATATATATATATAAATACACACACACACACACATATATAGTTTCCCTCTTGAAAGGAATTTCTCAAATACATGATTTCAAAGTGACATAAGATTCCAGGATAGGAGCATTTAGAGATAAAGTATTTTTTGATCAGTCTTTGCATTTTTGAGATCCATTTGAACTAAAATGGTAATGGTGATCAAAATTACAAGGGGAAAAGTAAGGGATCTGGTGAAATAAAAAAATAAACCTTGTAACCTGGAAAAAACTTCTTTCTAACAGTATTTCCCTAGCAGAACTGAGAAGGTTTCTGGCAATGGCCTTGATTCTGCAAATCCACAAGCAATACAGGATTTGCTAGACTTTCTTTTTTGATAACTGTCTTCAGAGTAGGTAAAAGTAACTAAAGACCTCTCAGTAGCTCTTTATGATGAATTTGGTTCCTCTGAGCTTCTTGTTCTGTTCATCACTATTTATTGGGCATGTCTACATGTGCCCCTATAGCACCATTGTTACTGAGCTGCCATTTAGTTCTTCCTTTAGAAGTACTAAATGACAATACAGTGATAGCCTGTACTGCGCTGTGCCTGTGGCGGACAGGTTATTTTTAGCCACTACATCACTGTAGCAACTCGCTATAGCGAGAGAGCATGTTGCTATGGGAACCTAACTGCGGTGTCACAGTTTGTGCCTGCCAGTGCTACGTCACCATAGTACATTCCTACGGCAATACAGTGTCTCATATAGGCATGCCCAATGTGTGTAAATATTTTCAGTAGCCCAAATTTTTGGAAGGCTTCCTCTTGCTGTGGTCGTAGGGCCAGAATTATGATTGCAACTAGTCCACAAATCTGAGAGGATGGGCTTTGTATTTACCCACTAAAGTGTAAAGAGATGATGCCTATACTCTTTACTGCAAAAGTCACACTGGTGAAATGAAGAAAGCTCTGAGAACCTGACTGGCAATTCTTTTCCAGTATCTCTCTCTCTTTCCCATCCCCTCTGTTCCCACTCTTAGGACAACTATCAATATTTCTTGTGCCACCAACTAGAGCTTGTCAAACCAATGCTAAAGGACATTTTCTAGATCTGAGTTTTCACCTATATCCTTCTCTGTGATTTGTCATTTGATCATCCTCCGTGTTATTTGGTGCCTGTGAAAGGGGTACTTGACAGAATGGCAAATTAAAGTCCCACATTTATCTATAAAACAGGTGCAGATCAGACAGTGGTACTGTAGGCTTCCCCATGCTTGGTCTAATAAGTCTTTTTGTGAAAGAACTATTATACCTTTAAGAGTCAGAGATTTGTTTAGTTTCTACAACAAACTCAATCCTTTGCCTGTTGAGCCTGCTATTTCTATTGTTTCATGTTTTCTATTGTCTCATTAAAGTCCAAGTGCTAGTCATGTAAGTTGGTAGATTTTGGCCTCTAAAAGCTATGCTTATTCACAAGGAATATCTAATTAGTCTCTCATAGAGATCCGTATAAAGAAGGATAAAAGCAGCAGTTTTCAAATAAACTGAAACATAAGTCAAGCTGATTTTAAAATGTTTTAATTAAACTGAAAATAATTGTTTTCCACAGAGTTCTCCAGTAATATGTTATTTCAGTGACTCATTATTTTAGAATCTAGAGAACACAGCAGAATTCGCTCAAGGGAAAAAGGTCTTATTCCAGGCTATATTATTTTAGCTGGATTAGTGGCTGCTGTTATAATGAATCAGAGCTGGATTCAAGCATGAGTCCATGGAGCTGAGACAAAAACTGTAACTTCTTAGAAAAATCAAGTCAAATCCAAGAGAAATGCCATTTACTAGTATCTTTGCATCTAAACAAGCTGTAGAACAGTAGTTGGCAATGGTAGTGTCCCAGTGCAATTAAGTATATAGAAAACAAAATAATGCATAAGAACAGAAGGAAATCAGATAGTTGCTAAAGGGAAAGGGGAATGTTACAGTGGTTAAATCATATAAATGGCAAATAGTAGCTCTGGGGTCTATATCTTGTTCTCATACAGAATTCCTGGAAGAAAAAGAATGAAGATGGTCTTGTGAGTCCATGTGGCTAAGACGGCACAAAAGCTGTATTCTTGAACATAGTTGTGATTTTCCTAAAGCAGGGTTTTCAATCATTTTTAATAAGTGTACCCCCGGCAGCTGGACACAGAGCAGGGGATGAGGGGGTGGTGCGTGGCTGCTGCTGCGTGCAAGCTCCTCCCCCACTGTGTCCGGGGCTGGGCAGCCCACAAAGGGGTGCCGCTGCCCTTGGTCTCCCTGGCCCTGCTCCTAGGAGGTGGGGGCAGGGGGTGGTGAGTGGCAGTGCTCCATCCCCTCCCACCCATGCATGCTCCCTAGGGTCTTCCCAAGTATAGCAGGGGGTATGTGTACCCCCAGTTGACAACCCCTGTCCTAAAGTATTCTTATATAACATGTTCCCTCCACTTTGTTCTACACAAGCTGAATATCAGAATCTAACCTAGATCTTAAAAGTATGAGGAAACAAAATCTTGAAATAAGTTGTATGGAATTTTGGAGAAGATTTATTTAGATTTATACAAAGATTTAGATTTGACTAGGCTTGAGGAATAGGTGATACCAGTACAGGCTGTTTCATATTTTACCTTAATGAATTCATCCATCTTTAGCTGGTTAAAAGTTTGGCACTTTAACATTACCCCACACCATGTTCAAAGTGCTAAGGCTGTCATTGCATTAACATAATAAAATAAATCAGAAAAAGAGTGGAACGTATGAGAACTTTAATTTTTCTATAGGGAATTTTGTGCATGTGATTTGGAATATGTGAATACATTTATAAAGGCATTTTACTTTAGTATATTGGCCTAGAAAGAGTTATGATATATATGTTATAGGGAAGTAAAAAAAAGGCATACATTGATTTGATATCTTCCAGAAATAGGGTAGGGAAAAATCATGAGAAGTCTGGTTTATTTGCAACTCTCAACATAAGTTGCAGATATGCAGCACCTATCAAGATTTGGCCTACTATGAGGTACAGAAAAGATAAAGTCTAGACACCATAACATGGTTTGACACAAGCTGAATGGGTTCAGCAGCACTTGCAGCATCTTAACCACATTGTATTGTAATTATATTCTGCCTTTAATAAGTTCTAACTTTTCATAGAGCACAATATATTTAATAGAGCTGATTGGAACAGTCTCAGTGAAGTGTATTTCCACCAGATTATGCTGTTTTGTCAGAATGTTTTACAGAGCCATATTAGTCTTGACAGTTTCCATCTGGATGGTTTCTGAGGTTCAGGGCTATCTGGCAAGAGAGATAACAGACAGGAAGACATTTTGACACTGTTGAGTGTCTGTGGAAATCTTTCAAAATATTTTGGTTCTGTTCCAATGTGAAATGTCAAGATCTCAAGTGATGTTGCAGAACAGTCTTCATCTTTTTGATGCATCCTATAGTTAATATATGTGAAATTAATAAGTTAAATGAAAGTGTGGCTGGGTCTAGGAAGAAAAGCATTGGTTAGTCAATTGATGCTCATTAAAATTATAACAATTTCTCTTAAGGATGCCAATTGCACTAGTTAGAAAAGTTGGAATAGTTTTCATTTGGAATGGCACAACCTTTCATTTGGGACGGCACATGTGGTTCTGGATTTGGATATGATCGCTGCTCCAGTAAGTGAAAGTGTTTTTGTTTGGCCTATCTGTGAGACTACACCTAACCCTGGTTTTCTAATCAACTGCCTCCCATATAAGATTTTGGTTTGAGGTTTTCTAGGCTATATGTGCAACAAAAATCATTGAACATTAATGTAAGACCAATTCTATTAAGTTACATTAGTTGAATACGGAGCAATTTAGTGTGTTTACACTGGTGAATCTGAAAACAGAAGCATCCTTTATATCAAAACTCTAATACATTTTAATTAAATTTGCTTGCTCCTATTCATTTTTAAATGATGTGTTTGTGATGATCTGTTTCTATAACACATTTATCCTGACAGATTCCAAAGCACTTTATAAGCTTTCCAGGATGAGACATACAAAAGCATTTCACCTGCAGCTGAATCGCAGCCACATATTGGGGCTAGCATGATAGCTAATCAGGCAGCCAATTCAACACACAGCCTACAATTTTGGACAGGCACTGAAGAATATTGTATCTAGTTGAAAATGCAGGTATAATTTAGGAAGTTAGGATGCATTTATTTCTAGGCTATATTCAAGCTGTGATAAGCCTCAAGATGCAATGACATTTCTTTTTCAATGATACTCTATGCATAGTTTGAACTATTAGCTATAATAACAATAACAAAATCATTGAAAAATAGGGGCCTCAGGAGGTCATCTAATCCAACTCCCTGCTCAAAACAGGACCATCACTAAACCATCCCAGCTGTTTGTTGAACTGCATTTAAAAGCTTGTAGTGCTGGAGATTTGCCTACGT